GAAATGCTGACGATGACAACATAATGAGAAGGGGGAAAATAGAAAGATAAGTAAGGGAAGGAAGATGATTATGATATTTGTTTCGTTATCATTTCATAAAACTACATTCATCATCAGTACAATCAAAATATAGTAGGGTAAATTATCAAATTGGCATTTTTTGGCCCTTTATTTAAATAGGATACTTTCACTTGTGACACTATAGAATTAATATCAAAACTAATATCAATCTCATCCCCCCCTACCCTACCAATAAACATACCAATTTGGTTATTATATATATATAAAACAGTATAAATTGGCGTTAGATATTAATATTAATATCATAATATCGCAAGTGCAAGAGAAAGTATTATGTTGAAATATGGTCATATGCTTATCAATATGGTAATTTTTCTGTCACGCGATAACAAGTTTTAAATCTGTGTTTACTTCTTACATTCTCCTTTTTATTGGACAAACTTTCAAAACCAACCTATTTCCAAATTTAATCTCAAAAAAGACCTGTTTTGAACTTATTTTCAAAAACCGACCTGGTTTCAGCCCTGACATTGAAACCATGTTGGTTTTTGAAAAAAAATTATGAAACTTCACGGGGGTTCAACTCCCGTGAAGTTTAGTAAATCTGCTAAACTTCACGGGAGTTCATCTCCCGTGAAGTTTCATGGTTCAAAAAAAAGTTGATCTATGAAACTTCACGGGAGACTCCCTTGAAGTTTAGCAGCTTTACTAAAATTCACGGGAGTTCAACTCCCGTGAAGTTTCGGAAGTTTTTTCACAAAAACCGACCTGATTTCAGCGCCAAGGCTGAAACCAGGTCGGTTTTTGCAAATAAGTTCAAAACATATCGTTTTTTGGGATTAAATGTTCAAATAGGGTGGTTTTAAAATTTTGTCCCTTTTTTTTTAAATTATTTATTTGTTTTTTATCTTTTTATTTTTGCCCCAAATAGATGCGTGGCGAGTCCAGCGACTTGCGCAAGCTCCTCTCCACACGGCACGCGCCTGGCGTGTGGGTCCCTGAAGCCCAACGACGTGCTCGTGACAATCCAACGGAATCCGAATCTTTCGGCACCGCGAAACGCAGGGAAAATCAAATACAACTGCCGGTGTTCATAACCGCTTACGGGCCCCGCCAATCCCATAGGTGTGATCGCTAAATGCCAGCCGTCCGATCTTCCCAGCTTACACGAACCTTAGTCCCCCCAAGATATGGACACCAGCAGTGGGTCCCACTTCGGCGGTGCTTTTTCCGTGTGCAGAACAAAATCTTTTATGGATAGAGAGACGAAAGGTTACCGCGTAAAGACCCAACGGTGCTTACAACGGCCGCTGGATCTTTCATGAAACAGAAAACACTCGTGTGGTCCCCACATCGGATTCTGCCCTATTAAATGTCCATGAAGGACTGGGAGTATTACGCGAATGCCACTCGTGGATGGGTTGCACGTTGGGCCCAGTGGGCCTTTTTTCTGTTTCAGGGAGGGGAAGGTGAGAAATTTTATGGGTTAGGTCGATAAGGACAGGCCCGTCAAAGAACCGGTGAAAAGGTTATATCATTTAGTAGAACTTTATAAACCAAAGCATTAACACCAACTATATGAACTGCGCTTTGTCTATTTGTTGCTCCTAAAATTTATTGTTTCCCTTCCGATGTGGGGTGTACTCAGAAATAATTTTGGTTATGAAAATAAATTTGTTTTTGTACATCCAGGTTGTATGATTTATATTGCTCATTGTGATTTACATTCCAAAACATATGAATCATATGTGATTTTCTTGCTTTTGATTTAACACATGCGCGATCGAAAATCTATAAACCGTAAATTTTCATAAATTTATTTACATGCTAGGCATAAAATTTTAAACTTAAATAATGTGCATCATCCATAAGTTGCTTTTGATCTATAAACTGGTTTTCTGTGTATATCATTGCAAGTTACTTATTGTTGCAAACATGCTATATACAATTTGTTTATTGTTAGAATATGCCAAGATGATTGCCATCATTTTAAACAACTTGTTCCTTGTAAATGCAGATAGCTTGGAACCTAATTTCAACTATAGAGATACTTGTTTACCCATGTTATTTAATATATTCATTAGTTTGAATTTTAGGAAATGGTGATATAATTAATATAAGTTTATTCTAAATGCTCAAAGGAAGCAGGAAGGATGTTGTGTAAAGCCATGTACTTGCATTTTATATAATCACGAGGAGATTAGACCATGTCAACACATAAAGGGCACGTGCATGTTCCGAAGTTTTACGCGACAAGAACTAGTACCGTTGCCCGTTGGTGTATGAGGTGCAACAAATACAACAAAGGTGGGCCTATTGGCTATTGGGCATAAAATAAGTTATTCATCGTTGGTGTATGAGGTGCAACAAATACAACAAAGGTGGGCCTATTGGCTATTGGGCATAAAATAAGTTATTCATGTGCAACAAATACAACAAAGGTGGGCCTATTGGCTATTGGGCATAAAATAAGTTATTCAT